AATGTGTAGCCAATCAACTTGCAGCTATTCTATAAAAGCTGCAAGTTGATTGTACTTGTACCAAGCTCCTGCATCGTGGACACAGGCCTTTAGGGCCTGAGCAGAAAGATTGTCGTGTTTACGATTCCGTATAGTAAGACGCAAGTCGTTGTCGAAAGTCAACGCACAAAGAATTGTCATAGACGTATGTCGTCTTGCGATGCGACGAGTGCCGATATACGTCTACAATTCTTTGTCGGAAATCAACGCACAAATTAACTCAAGTCTTACGACAGACTCATAAGCGGTTACGACAATCTTTCTGCTCAGGTCCTTACAAGGTCGCGTCTCGGCCGAGACACCAAGCGGTAACAAGACAAAATTCACGCGCGACGACACGCGATACGAGAGGACGAGGTGGACGTCGAGGGCGAGCGGCGGTGTGCTTGCCGGGATGCGCGGAGGATGCCGCTTGAATAGGAACCGGAACCTCGCGGTCCGTGCGCGGAATCGGCTACGCGATCGCGCCCGTACGGGCCGCGCATACGAATCAGATAAGAGACGGCCGGGAGGCTTCCCGGAGGAGAAGGAGGAGAGGAGAGAAAAAGAGAGAGGCTGTTCGTCATTGATTTCTTCGAAAATAAATCTGTGTAATTGCAGTCGCGGACACGACGGACGCGGGGTCGCGAAACCGCAGCGGCGAATCGAAAACCGCGCGGCGAGATTGCCCCGGGCTCTTGCGATCCGCGAAAACCGGATCGCGACTATCGGAATCGTGTAATTAACGACGGACCGTCGTCCCGTCTGCGGGGATGGGGAGAGGCAAGAGGGTGGAAGGAATAACTTATTCCGCGTAGAAGCCATCCGGCAAGTGTCGTCGCATGCGAGAAAAGCGTAGGAACGTCGGTAAATAATCGGGGAATAAACCTCGGTTATTTCTGCCGTTGGATTAAAAGTCAGTCGCGGTAAATCGTAAAAGTAGTGCTAATAAATAAAACTGGATAGATACAAGCCATACATCAAGTGTGCATTAGCATATAAATAAAGGAGTCGAGGAAAAGAACAAAAGTAATAAAATATGCCTGCAGTATATAAAAATGTCGTTTACATATATCGTCGGTGTAAATTTAAATTTAATGAAAGCAAAGATACGCTATTGGTATAATACGTTCTTAGCGAAAATGTCGAGGCACGAATGCACCAGCGGTATATTTGTGCTCAAAAGCAAACCAGATTTCTGTAAGATCTGCAATTTAAATACAACTTAATATTCAGGTTTCAGAAAGTGGATCTCTGATAAATTACCGCGCACCGCGCGGTGTTTTTATTCCAGATCTCTCGATCGTATCTACGAGTAGTGATGCGACGATGTCTCTAAAAAAATCGATTTTCACAATCGATTAAATTTAACAAAAAAGAATATGCGACTCGATTCATCGGAGTAAAATTAATCGATTATAGAGAATCGATCAAAGATCAGATTTTTATTGGAGTCATATGTGTAGATGCGCGCGCGCGCGCGTGTGTCTGTACACCGACATAAATTTTGCGAAAAGGATAGGTAACCGCAACTAGCACAAAGACCAATACGTTAAAAAATGGTTGCAAATTGATAAATTATACAATCGTGCAACGTCAGTAAACTTTTCAAGCGTTTTGATTTACTTACATAAAACGGCATGTCTCTAGTAAACGAGCAAATTATGGATCAAGTTTACACATT